GGTAAGTGACAGAGCTGGATTTATGTTTTACTGCTTATACTTTGTGATAAAATAGGAAGATATTCCTCAGTTTTTGTTTTGCTTCTCACTTGAAATCTCCTGCGAGGGCCGGAGTGCAATGCCAGGCTCCTCAGAATGAAGTCTCTGGACTGAGCCGGGAAGAGATGCCAGTGATGGCCACGTCCCCAGAGGGTGGGGGCGGTAGACGGGGCGTCGAGACTGCAGCCACAGGCCTGGGGCCCTGCCAGGCAAGGCCTCAGACCCCACTCGTGGTTGGCACCCCTGCGCCAGGCAGTGCACACAGACGAGCTGTGTCTTCAAGGGGACAGCAGAACACGGTCCTTGGGAGAGGGGAAAACCCGAGGGAAGGGCTGGTGTGACCTCAGCCTGCAGATCTGAGAAGGGCTGCTCTGTGGAAGAGGGGGTGTAGGTGGCAGCTGTCCCAAGAGCCAGGCCAGAAAAAGTATGTTTCTGTTCGATCAGCGGCTGGGGGATTTCAGGAGAAGAGAAGAGCCCATTTCTGACAGTGCACGGTGTTCAACCCTGGGAGAGGTGACCATGGAGGGGACCTCTAGAGGGAAGGGATGGGCCACCTTAAGTTGGCCTCTTCATTACCCCTGCCTCCTAACCTTCTGGAACCCTACCCATCTTTGAAGCCTCAGCTCTGATGCCCCCGTCCATGCATCCCTTCCGGACTGGCCATCACCCACATCCCTAGAACTCCCAGTTCTGTTCAGGGCACAGGGAGCCAAGCTGCCCTGGGCTCCAGACCGGTCTGCATTCGTTCGGGGGCTAGGCTCAGATCAGTCATGTAGGTGATGGAAGCCTCAGACACTCTTGAAGCTAGCCCACTTTGTCCTGGTCCCCGAAAAACACTCACAGACCATTTTTACAGCAAATATACACTCTCTACTATTCATTTGGTCTTGGGCATTAGGTATCTTGGTCACCTCACTGGGACAGTGTCTCCTGGTATTAGTGACTTCTTGCATGAATACATTTTTCAAATTCTTGGACAACACTTACTGAACACTTACCATATGCCAAGCACCATTGTAACTGCTCTCCAGGGATCATCCTATTTACTCTTCCCCCAAACCCTAAGAGTCGGTGTTATCCTTATCACATTACAGAGAAGGAGAAAGAGGCCCAAGCACTCAGCAGCTACGGGACACCAGGACTTGAACACAATGTTGAAATCCTCACCATCAAAATCCATGAGTTGTCTCTGCTGTGTCTCTCAACGAAAAGAAGCCAGGGATTTTCTCATTCCTTGGTAGCTCCTGTAGCTCCTCGTAAATGTCTGTACATAGTAGTTTTTCAAAAAATGCCGGCTTGCCGATTGTCCAAATACATTTCTAGCCTGTGTTTTCAATGATAGGTGTGATAAGGCGCTCTTGAGAGGACAAAGGTGTGTTGAATCCATGCTGGACAAAATCAGGTATTTCTTGGAAAAAATAGGAGAGGGAGTCACAGGCCATGTCCTAGAAAATTGTATTCTGAGAAATGTGAAAAGCATTTGAAAATGAGGGATGCAGGGAGAAAACCCATTTCAGTAAAACTTTGATGCATTGCTTCAGCCAATCCGAACACTTGACTGATTGCTCTTCTTTCTTCTGTCTTGCACTTAGAGGAGAATACAAGTGGTTCATACAAAGATTGATGTTGAAAATGCACCTTGCAGAAGAAGGCATCGCTGCAGACTCAACCTGACCTCTACCTGTTCTGCCTACACTCCAGTCCCAGACGGCAGAGCTGGCACCGGCGGTGACCTCAAGCCAGAACTCTGCGAGATCGCCGAGAAGGCTGCGTTCTTGCTGTATGCCTGCTACGATAGGAAAGTGGACTCCTGTCTTGGAGAGAAATCACGTGATTTTGAGAGAAACATAAAGGATTTTTTCCCCTTAAGTTAACATTCCACTCATAAAAATGAAGTTTTGAGGAACTTCTGCAAACTCTGAATGCTTTGGTTAATTGATTTTTTACCATAATGAGCAAATTTGCAGCCACAAATAAATTGGGGAAGAAAGTACACACTTCAAAAAAGATTTGTCACTCAGCTAGATACCCTCTTGCGGTGCTTCTTGAAATAGAGAGCATTTCTGGTCCATTTTAAATGATTTTATTTGCTTGAAAGTGAGAGTTATATATTCCATTCGGAAAATCTGGCAAGATGTACCTGACTGCTTGAGATCTCTAGAAATTATACCATGTTAACGCTGAAAGGGGCATCTGAGTCTCACCTGCTCACTTTGAAGCTGAAGAAACTGTGGCCTGGAGAAATTAAGTGACATGTTTGTGTCACAAGGCCTTGTCTGTAGCAGGCTGTCCTGTTGCCAGTTTTCTCGCGCCACTGGGCATCTTCCTGTGTACCCGGGGATCCTACGCTCCAGGCAGGACCACGCCACCCATCTTCAGCGGCCATCACAGATGCTTGCTCCTCCATCCCCTCTTCGGATTTTGTTTGTATTGGTTTTTGTTTATTATGGCAAACTTCCCAACTCTCTAAAAGTAGAGAATATAATATTATATAATTAACTACAGTGATCCCCTCACCCAGCTGCTATAGTGATTAACACATGGACAATCACCTCTCTCCATACCTGATTCCACCTCTCCCTGCACCCAGTGACTTTGACGCAAACCCAATCATCATGTAATTGCATCTGTAAATACTCCATGTGTGACTGTGTCCAGGCCCTGTCTTACATACGTATATGTCCACAATATAATTAGCACAACTAAAAATAACGAGCAGTGATTCCTTAACATAATGAAATTTCCCTGATTGTCTCTGTTCTCTCGCTTTCTCTCCCCACGCCTCTCCCCCTTTGCAATTCGTTTGTTAGAATCAGGATACAAAGTCAATCATGTCTTAGGTATGAGATAGAATGATTAGTTGATCAAAGCCCTTGCATTAGAATGTTTGCTCAACAAGAGGAAATACATTGCATAACAAGAGCAGTTTATAATAACCATGGGTCACATTCATAAATGACTTTACATTTCATAAGCTTCTTGACCACAGTATTCACATCAGATAGGTTAGACAGCTGTCATGTGCCTCCGGCAGAGGAATCTGAGGCCTGGAGGTGTTTTGGGATCCAGTTAGTGGTGAGCTGAGACCAACCAAACTTCCTGACCTGGCTCTTCTTATGGCAACAAAATCTCACAATAACCCCCATCTCATTAAAATTATAGCTTCTGATTTTGTGCAGCTTGTTAGGTTCCAGCCCTTTCTAAGCGCTTCATATATGGTAGCTGGTGTAGCCATCGCAGCAACCAGACGAAGTAGGTGCCTTTATTCTCATCGTGCGGATGAGGAATCCCAGGCACAGGGGAGCCGGAGCATTTTCTCCGGGTCACCCAGCACCAGCATTAAACCCAGGTCTTCCTGATTGCGGAGTTCACGCTCGTGATGTCTCTAGTCTAGTGTCACGTAACAAGGCAACTGCCGTTTTCAGTGTTGAAAATTTACCTCCATTTACTCTCATCTTTTTTTCCGTTTTAGAATTTGGCTTGAAGTGTGGAATAAAATCACATGCTTAAGAAGTCTACTATTCAGACGTTTCATAAACACGGACGTGATTTTCCTTCATCTGAATCCGTTAAGTTGTACGTGATCCTTGACTGGGCAATTAAGAGCTGCAAATGAATCCGAGACGCTGGGACCTGTGTGCCCTGGTCTCACACGGCCCGCGGCCAGCACCACGTGGCCACTGCCTTGGCCGGGCCCTGCCCGCTCTGTCTTGTGCTTTCAGGAGCAATCAAAGCCCTTTTTAGAAAATGTTTCCTGGTCTTCTGTGTCCTTGGATGGACAGAGTTTTCCACTAGACCTTTTTTCCCAGCCACACTGGCCCTTAAGATGTTACCCAAGGCTCCACACCTACTTCAAACATTTCTGGGGCCCTGGTCGGGGCCTTGCGCGACTGCCAGGAACCCCACAGCATGGAGGAGCCCAACTCTGGGGGCCCCTGGTCGCAGAGTTTGGGGAGCCCCCTCGGAGGCCCCACTGTCAGTGCGGTTCTCTTTCTCACACTTCCCCAAACAGCATGCTCTTGTGCAGCAGCTGTTGCTGGCCAGGCCTTCTTTCAGCCCTCGTTGTTTTTCCCATGTTTGTAGCCCTGGTGTTCCCCCACCCCCTTCCTTTTTTTTTTTTTAAGGGCTTTTCCCCTAAGTCTTTCTGTCGCTGAACAGCTGTGCTCTGATAGTAGATAGAATGTTTTCTGTCCTCACCACAAGCTTATGAACAAAAGGGTTTTAAGAACCCTGATAAATGAACAAGGTCTCTGGGAAGATGAAATGTTACCAACATTTCAAACAATCAAAATCCTTGTGAATCTCGAAGGGTTTGCCCTTTCAAAGCAATGCCGGGCGGGTATTTTGTCTTGGAGCCTTAGAGACTGTGATTTTTTTCCCCAGTCTCCCTATCGACCTGACATGGGAAAGTTGGTCTGAAGATGGCCCTTTGCTGGCCTCAAAGCCCCGAACTTGCTTTCCCATCAGCTGTTTGTCCCGCTTCGAGCCCCTCTGGGGAGTTTTGGGAGGTTCTGTCAGCAAAAGGAGCCCAAGTCTGGGTGTTCTGGTTTCTGTTATCTTCTGGTTGATGTCGAGGTTCTATCCTCATTTGAAAACAGTTGTAGCCACCCTTGATGAAGCCTACCTGTGTGCAGGTGCTCCGCCAAGCGCTTGCCACCATCCTGCCCTCCACGCAAAGCACTCCTGTGCAGCGTGTGCAGGACCCCAGACTTTCAAGTGAGGAAACTGAGAGTTAAAACACTGAGCAACCTGCCCAGGGTACTTAGCAAGGTTGTTTGCAAGGTGGCTCCAGCTTGAAAGCAGGCAGCGGGGTCACTATTCAGACCACCTGTTTTGGACTCTGAAGCCTCTGCTGTCTTTGGTACAAAATGAAATCCCTGAGTGTGAGGCCAGGGATTTCCAGACCGGGCGCTCCAGGCTGTTTTGCCTTCTACTTCCGTGTCAGAGGACCTCCTTCTAAACCAAACGGGCTCTCCTTTCTTTAAACTCTTCCTTCACCTCCTTCCCTGCCTCTCATCACACCCCCTAAAGTGTGCGCTGCCTTCCGTAATTTCTCATTTCAATGCCATCCAAACCCCAGGCGACTTGCTCTGGTTCGTTGGCAGCCTAGTCCGGGGTCCAACCCAGACGTTTGCTGTCCAGCCCAAGCCTCTTCCTAGTACCGCCTCACATGGGAACAGAAAGGTCAAGGCTTAAAGGAAAATGACAGATGGAAAGAAAAGCCTCCCCCGGCCTGTGGAGCTCCGTGAAATCCCTCATTATGGGATTTCCCTAGTCGGGGCTACAAGGAGAAGCCCGAAGGCTCATGGCAAAAATCGACAACACATCAAGGCACTGTACACACAGGCGTCACTCGTCACAGCGCAAACATCTGACAAGCAGCCCTGAGGGTGGGGGCGGCAGGGTGACAGGAAGGAGGAGGGAGGAGAGGAGAGGGGAGAGGAGAGGGAAACTACCGACATGGTGACTTCACTTCCTGCCTGTTGGCACCCTGCCTGTTCTCCTCCACAGAGATCCCAAGGAAAGGTCTTTTAAAAATGCAGCAGGAAAAACTTGGGCTAGATTCAAGGAAGACCTGAGTCCAGGGTTCCAGGAAGAGATCGTCAGGGCATCTCCTTCCCTGGAAATCTTGAAGGTGAGTTTGGAGCATCCTCTGGAGGAGTTTCAGGAGGGGCCTGCCCTGTGGCAGAGGCAGGGACTGCCGATCTGGGCCCTGTGCATTCAGGGGAGAGGAGGCATGGGTTGCCTTTGAAGGCATTCTCGTCTCCGGCCAGAAAAGGAGCGAGTCTGTATGTCCACACAGGGAACCGCCAAGAGGTGGGCTGTGTGGAGCAAACCCCAGAAACTCCCTCCCTCCCTGTGCACACAGCCTGCACGTCCCTCCCCCCTCGCAGCCCTTTCTCATCTCTGCCCCCCTAGCAAGCTTCCCATCGCCCCAGGGAGGGACACAGGCAGAGCGTCTTCCTCCGTGGGTTCTCCTGTTATACAGAGGGATGCTGCTCAGGACCCAGAGCTGACTGCAGGTGAGTCCCGCAGTGCCCGGACACAGAGAGGCTGCCCAGTAGGGCACCACTTTGCCTCCACTGCCCCGTGCACTCCCTAAGCAGGGCACGCACGCCAGGTTCTTCTATGCTAGGGGAGGCTGTGAAAGTGCAAAGACATTTTTGTGGTGGCATCTCCACCATGAAAGGTACAGATGTCCGCTGTAGCATCTCCAGCAGAGTATGGGATGTGTGGTGGTAGCCATGGCATGGCATGGGGAGGGTCAAGGGAGGGAAAGTTTGGAAAGTTCTTAGAAGGATTTAAAGGGACACTTGTTGTTATTCTGGATTTCAGAGAGTAGAGGAACAGGAACCAACAATAGGCTACCCTGTCCCCTTCTGCCAGAATTTGCCCCACCTCTGGAGTGGCGGTGACCATACCCTGCCAGGCACCGTGGGAGGAGAGGGGCTCCAGAAGCCAGCAGTAGCTGGAACCCAGAGAGAAATGTGGCCAACTTGGCCTAGTGGCCGGCAGAAGCCACCCACCTCCCTCCTTGCTGAGCCTGCTCCAAACTCCAGGGCAGGCAGAGTTTCTGTGCAAACTTAAGCTGTGCCTGTTGGACCAGACTGGGCTGGGGGTGGAGGCTGCTCTCTGTCACATGGGCCAGTAGGCCTGGACGGGAGGACAGCTGGGGGGTAGAGCGCTAGAGGGGTCAGACTTTTCCTGCCAGCCTGTGCTGGACCCTGGGGCTGCCGCCTGCTCTCAGCTTAGGCGACGCGTGGGGGGCTCTAAGGAGGGCAAGGGGAGGCTCGGAGAGCCTGTGTGTGGGATGCCGGAGATGTCTGGGGCCAGCAGGCAGGGCATCAGGTGCACACTGCCCACTGCAAACAGAGGGGAACTGGGTCGAGCCTGGCAGGCCTTGGCTGGCTCTGCTTCCACTGGAGGAGGCTCCTGGCTTGGCTAGAATCATGTGCAAAGTCCACGGACTCCCTCCCTGTTCCTGGTGTGCAAAGACCCCCTGTAGCCTTGCCCCATGCCCCTCCCTCATACACACACGTGTAGCTGCACTCTCGGGAGGGCACCCAGATGGGGAGGACTTTCCAGGTTGCTCCCATGGGCACGTGTGTGTGCAGATGCCCTCTCAGTATTCCCTTCTGTCCAGCCACTGAGCCAAGAAGGGTTGCTCACAGAGCAGGGGCCAGGGAAACCGCGGTGTGACTGCCACCACTTCAGGGCTCTGGCGTTCAAGATCAGCTCTCCAGACATAGTTTTAGAGTTGTATCCACCAAGGCACTGGGTAGCAATATATATATATATAGTTTTTTGACAGTGGCATCTTTGATCTTGTTCCAGTTCTTGAGGAAAGCTTTCAACTTTTCCCCTGTCAGGTTATGATGTTAGCTTGGGTTTGTCTCTTTATGCCTTTATGTATTTGAGTGTGTTCCTTCTATGCCTAGTTTTTGAGGCG